CAAAATAACAATTTATAGATCACTTTAAATTAGTGTGATTTGAGGGGCTGAAATGGAATAGGTAAAACTGCTCAAGTAATTAAGGCAAACTTGGTGAAAGTATTTTTGACATTTGCAGAAGGAAAAGTAAATGAAATTGAGAAATTTTAAAAGTATTGTTGGGCCCAGGCTGATGTGCTCAGTGGTTAGAGTGTCAGCCCATGCACCATAGGGTCGCAGGTTCAATTTCCAGTCAAGAGCATGTACTTTAGTTGCAGGTCCCAGTTGGGGTGCATTGGGAGGCAACCAATGTGTCTCTCACATTGACGTTTCTTTCCCCCTCCTGTCCTCCTCTCTTCCTTCTACTCTAAAAACCAATGGAAAAAATATCCTCATGTGAGGATTAACAAAACAAAGGGTGTTGTTGGTTCTTTGAGGATGAGGAAAACATTTTAAGGGATATATAAAGTGATGAAACCATTTGGGGTAGGAATAAAATAGGAAGGTATGGGTTTCTGGGAAGAAGGTGGAAGACCAAGATGAGTTTGGTCTTTGGATGTGTTGAATTTCAGTGTACTGTGGGGCATCTATAATGACAAGGAAAGCAATGTGTTCTTATAAATGGAGTAGCTTTATTCTCTGTCCATCATGAAATTTTCAATCACTTTGATTAACTAGCAATGAAATGACTCAAACATTCCTAACATCCCTTTATTATGCTGTGGTTAGAATTTCCTGACCCTTAAACCTTGTTGCCTTGTTTTGTCAGCTCTTTGGGAATTTCATTCTGCCACCTTCTCACCATGGGTCTAAAGCGCGCCCTGTTCTTGAGTTGTTGCTTGGCTCAGATCACAGTAACAGGATTATAAAAAATCTGTTGAAAGAAAAAAAAGCAGAAACTGGCACATCTTACAGGCTGAGGCCATTGCTGACTTGAGATCTTGAGCTAATCTCTTCTGTGGGCTTCAGTTTCCTCACTTACAAAGTAAGGAGAAATCGATGATGATCTTGAAAGGTCCCTTTCTGTGACCTGAGCATGGGGAAACAACTGGTGGCCATATTTTGAAAATTCCTCATACTAGAGATTTTTAACCAGAAATAAGAGAAAACTGCTAATTTGCTTAAGACTAAACTATATTTATTCAGCCACACCCAATTCCCACACACTGGAAGGACCAAGTGAGTCACTTGCAATGGAACCAAACCCTAATTTTCAGAACCCAATTAAAAATTTGCTTCAAGTACTTAGGATCAAATGGTTGATCCTGACATTTTCCCATCCAAATACTAACCAGGCCTGACCCTGCTTAGCTTCCGAGATCAGACGAGATCGGGCGCGTTCAGAGTGGTATGGCCGTAGTGATCCTGACATTTCCTATTCTAGTTGTGGCAGCTTGCTTCATTTGGTTTTGATTGGAAACAGTCTTTTGTATTAGAAGCAGGACTATATGAGAATACAGAAAGCCAAAGGATTATATTTGTAGCTTTTAGGTACCATTATTTTTCTTGACATCTCCCCAGACTTGGAAATATTGACTTTGTTCTCAAAGCCTTTTTCAATATAAAAATGCCTCCCAAAATGATGGGTAGAAATAGAGGGTGCCAAGTACTTTCATTCTTTTTATCCAGACAATCTTGCTTCGGTGTCTCCCCATATTCATGAGCACCTATATGATGTAAAAGAGAGGGTAGAAAACAATGGGAAGAAAGTTTTTTATTAGCTTTTCTAGGGATTCCATCGCCAATGTATCCTTTCTCAGTCCAGGTTGCCTGTTTCAGAGTTGTACTGCTAGAGACATAGTCATTGAAGGACAGAGGTAGTCATTAACTTCATGTTTAAGTACACACATATTTAAAGACAGTTTCAGATGCTTTGGATATAAAAATACCAAAGTAAGTTTATCAAGGCATCTGTTGTTATGGAACTTTATTTTTATTTTTTTTTAAATATATTTTATTGATTTTTTACAGAGAGGAAGGGAGAGGGATAGAGAGCTAGAAACATTGATGAGAGAGGAACATCTACCAGCTGCCTCCTGTACACCCCAGACTGGGGATGTGCCCGCAACCAATGTACATGCCCTTGACCGGAATCGAACCTGGGACCTTTCAGTTCACAGGCCGACGCTCTGTCCACTGAGCCAAACCGGTTTCGGCTGTTGTGGAACTTTAATATGAAGGCTGGGGTAGCTTAAACACCAAGGAGCCTGTAGGAAATGTAGAATGTCCAGAATTTCTGGATCAAATCTGCATTTTAGCAAGGTCTTCAGATTATTCATAGGTGCAGAAACGTCCTTAGGAGCAATGGGCTAGAGTACAAAGTGGGATGTTCTATGAGAATTTGGGGTAATTAACACTTTAGCACTTTACACAGAATTGCCTTGTTGAATGTTTATAATTCCATGAAGTTGGTACTGTTATCCTCATTTGACAGAAAAAAGCCTTAGAGTTGAAGTGTCTTGCCCAGCCAGTGAAAGCTAGGAAGAGGTGGAACCTAGTTTCCAATCTCTTCAGACTGGATGAATATCAGAGAGGGGTACTTACATGCAGAAAGTAAGATGTCAAGTTGCAGGTGGTAAAGTACCCAAAATACCAAAGTTCTTAGTGTATTGTTTGGGAAAGTGAATAGTGGGAAATAAAGTTTGAAGTGTAGGTAAAAACCAGGTTCTGCAACTCCAACTCCAGCCCTACGTCCAGTATTGACATTTCCTCAAGTGAGGGAAGAGATGAAAAACTGGTACGTATTATTTTTAAAAGTCAACCTAAAGAATCTTATAAAAGAAAAATTGCTCAATCCCCTCTCTTTCCCACCTCTCCCCCCACATTAGACTAATGCCTTCTGCCTTCGTACTACAGATTCGGGACAATGCCGCCTCTTTCATAAAGCCGAGTCTAAAAGAAAGTATAATATCTGCAGGAATAGATTATGACAAACTACATTTGGAGGTCTCAACCACTTTGAGGAAGGTAACCAGGATAGCCGTCACATTTAATCTGCCAACCTGTATTTGAAGCAGGACTATATGAGATACAGAAAGCTTGGCTTAGAAAAAAGGAGGCACAGGAAAGCTCTAGCCAAATATTTACAAAACCATAGCATCACTAGCCCTGGGGATAAGAGTGTTGAACATGACACGGTGAGTTTCCTACATCATGGAGATTAGTAAGGAAGATAGACAATGGAATACTAAAGATGGTTAAGTAAAAGTGCTGCAATAGAAGCTTTGACTGTGATGGGAATCAAAAAGGACAGGAAAAGCTTCTTTGAGGAAATGGTGTTTAAACAGAAAGTAATAGAATTCATAGGAGTTAACCAGAGAGGATAATCCAATTATGTGCATAGGTTTTGTGGTGCAACAGCTTGGTATGATAGTGACATTTGCAAGTCTAGTTGAAAGAAAAAGTGGGAAAGGGAAAGGAGAAGGTTGAATAGGTAAGCAGGAACCAGGTACGTTAATGCCTTATATATAGCTCATGTTCTAGATTTTGGATTTTGTTTGAAAGTCAACTTGTTGAAGGCTCAAAAGTAAACCTTGCATATGTCATAAGTCACCATGTGTAAATAAAGTCCTAATAGGGCATAGGCATGATGTTGAAGACTACTGAATAGACACAACCGTGTGATGGCTGGCTGGCTAGGTGAATGGAAGACACTGAGGGTGGGCTGAGATGTCTTCCATAGTGATAAATTCTTAGTCATTGGAGTTGTTGAGGTATCCAAGTGGGAAATCAAACAAATGGGGTTTTTGGCCTAGATTCTCTTTAAGACATCATATATTATTGAGATTTACAATACCTTGTATTTGATCATAAATATCACTACAAATAATATTTTCCCTTATCTGTATGTATAGCATGATACTTTTACACAAATTACCAAATTCTCATTACAGCTCCACAAGGTAAGAATAACTCCCACTTTACAAATGAAGAATTGAGTCCCAGATTAATAACCTTCCCAAGCTAACAAGGTTAGTGAATAGTTGAACCCAGATCCATTATACACTCAAAGACCTGTCCTCGTAATAGCTAATAGTAGAAAGTTTCTGTACAAACTAGTTCACAAATAAGGTAATTAACAGGCATTTGATGAATGAACAATTTAGTCTGGAATAGATATCTGGAATTCTTCTAGGGGGACTTTGCATTTACTTAAAAATATTTTAATGTGTACTATGTGCCAAGCACTAGGGATAAAGTAGTCAATAAAATGGACACGGTCCCTGTCTTTCTTCGAGTGTACAATATGAGAAAAACTGGTATTACACCAAAAATTACACAAATCACTGTAATTGTGTTAAGTTAGGGGTGTCGAACTCAATCAGAGAAGGGGCCAAAATCTAAAATCCAGCCTAAATCGCCGGCCGAATGGTTTACTGAACAGTCATAAACTGTCATTGTGATGGAAACGCAGCGGAGTGCAGTGATGACAGCGCGGTGTGGGCCACATTGCAAGGCCTGGCGGGACGGATTTGGCCCGCGGGCCTTGTGTTTGACACATGTGTGTTAAGTGCTTTGAAAGTAAAGTATTAAGTGCATTGTAACGGGGATCTAATTGAGTGTGGGGAGTCTTACATTATTAAGCTGTCACATCCCTATCTTTCTCCAAAAAGTTTCTGGTTATCATTCCTTAATGGTTTCTGACCTATGTTTAACCTGTTATAGTCAAATTCCAAATCTTTTCTGGGTAACTTTAGCCCTTACTAAGAAGGATTCTGGCTACAGTCAATTGCTAGCAGTCTATGGGTTTAACACCCATAGCAGTCACTCCTAAATTATTTCACCCCGACACAAGTACTATATTTCGAACAGCATTGTAGACTCAGTGTCCTGGATTTGTCTCTGACACCTCAAGCAACTTACCATACCTTCTCTTCCTATAAGAACAAAACAGTTATTCCTAAGTTGACCAGACGTCCCGATTTTCAATAATCTGTCCCGTGTCCCTCGGCGTTTTTTAAACATCCCGACTTTTGGAAAGAGAGTCCCGCCAAAAGCGGGACATCTGGTCACCTCAGTTATTCCTTCCCCCCCTTCCCTGTTCCTGTTGTTTTCGTCAACCACAATGAACAACTTGAAGTAGCACCAGGCAGTATTTTCTAAAAAATCATTGGTCATAACTGATCCTTTTTTTCCTTATTGTGCCCCTCCCCACTTGGTGCAAACTCTCTTGTATTCTTGCTGTGTGTGAACTATCTTTTCCCATGTAAGCTTTTGGGGAACAGATTATACATTTTATATTTTCATATCGCCTTGCTGAAAAGATAAGTACTAGTCAGTAAATAACTGATTTGATACCACGCCAGATAGTTTATAATGCAACGTGCTGTTTACAAAAGTGTTTAGCATATACCATTTTTTTCCCCTAATATAAATTGTTGAGATGGAATGGCCTTCTGTAAAAAGATAAGCAAAATGAGAATCAAATGTGAAAAGTCTTCCTAAAGATCACAATTTCTTAATTACAACACACACAAAAAGGGGATGCTATAAAATGATCCAGTTATGATCTTTCTCCACATTTACCAGGTAAACTATTCACTCTTTAGTAAAGCTCTCTCTAAATTCTATCTTCTCAAATCTCCACATAGCCTCAATTCTCAAATTTTTCATGTGAAACTATTGTTCTGTATTCAATGGATTGTTGGGAATTATCTGTTCACTGTCCAAGAAGGTAACCACTAGCCACACATGGTTACTTAAATTTAATTAAAATTAAATAAAATGTAAAATTCCGTTCCTTTGCCACAGTATACACATTTCAAGTGCCTAGAAGCTACCATATTTGACAACATATATTTCCATCTTTGTAGAAAGTTCTTTTGGACAGTGCTATCCAAGAGCCAGGACTTGTCAAGATCAGAGATAACAATATGACCAAACTGAAAACCAGGCCAGTCAGAACCTGGTTGGTTTTGAGGGAGAAGATTCACTGGGTGAGGGAGAAGCAAGGTGGCTTTTGGGACGATGACATCACAAAGCACAGCTCACAGTGGCTCTGGAACACGGGCTCCCAGGCCACTTTCCTTAACTCTTATCTAGGGTCCTGGAGCCTCTGAACATGTAGCTCCTGAAGCTGCTCTTCTTAAAATGCCAACACATTCACCTTCATCTTCTATCTGGGACACCATAGATTATGCCTCTCTGAGCTCAATATGGAATTGGCTACAAGCAACTTTTCTGGGACAGACTAGTGTGACTCAGCAAACAAATTTGGGGCTACTAGATAATCTTGCTCCGGCTCTGCAAGTTGCCCTCGGGATTTTCTTTCTTATTTTCTTGGCAGTAGGACTATATGCCTTATGGAAACGAAGTATTCGGTCAATTCAGGTTATACTCTTTTGTTACAGAGAAATTTAAATAGTTATACATTGAAAGCTGATTAATTCTCTCCCCATATTGCTACCATTCTGTTTTAAGACCATGCAGATGAGCAAGGGCGAACTCGTCTCTGAAGGTGTTTTAGTTGGTTGAAACTCAAGTATCCTTAAAAACTTTCCCCAATTAGATTTTGAGCATAACAATATTTTCTCACAATTGTCTTTGGCTTGTCTTATAGTAAAATGGATCAAACAAGTTCACAACCTGAAAAAAGCAGCCTTACCCCTAAATTTATTTATTTATAAATGTTTTTATTGATTTCCAAGAGGAAGGGAGGAGAGAGAGAAACATCCATGATGAGAGAGAATCATCGATCGGGTTCCCCCTGCACGACCCCCACTGAGGACTGAGCCCACAGTCCATGTGCAATGACCTGGAATCGAACTGTTACCACCTGGTTCATGAGTAGATGCTCAAACACTGAGCAACACCGGCTGGGCACCCCCAAATTTATTTGATCACCGATTCGAGTGTCTACTATGTGCCAGTCGCCATTTGGGGTACCTCTTCTAGAATTGGCATTGCAAGTATGACTGGAATCTTGGGTTCTTACTGTGCCATTGCTTTGTAACTGATGAGGCATGAAGAGCCGGTCATTTAGTGATCACGGTGTTTTCATTATTTCCTTGTTTTAACAAGATAGGGTTCCATGAGTATACAGTGGCTCTTTTTGGTAAGAGTAGTATAACTGGCTGGGATTATGAAAAACATTATTTTACATATTTGTGTAATCACCAAAAATAATACCTATATTTACAATAGAGTCAAAATGCTTTGAGAGTCCCAACGATTTCTTGAAGTTATTTTCATATGGAAAACAAAAGTGAGGTGAACTGAGGTTCAGTGGAAATGAAAGGAGATAGGGTTGTTTTTGTTTTGTTTGTTTGTTTTTTTTAAAAAAAAAACTTTCTTAAAGAGTGACAGGTTTACTTGGCAAATGCTAAAAGAAATTATTATCAGATCATTTTACAGCATGTCACTACTGTTGAGGAACCATGGTCACATGCACTCTCTTAATCTTTCAAAATCCTGCAAGGTAGGCAGGGCAGGGATTACAATCTCAATTTTATGGTGAGGAAACTTGGTTATCACCTACCCAAGTTGACAGAGACCAGAAAAGCTGAGATTTGAACCCAACTTTTAAGATTCACATTCAATTCTTTTCCAAAATCTCATTTCACATAAGCTGACTTAAATCCCTAGTATGGATATGTGTGTATACATATTCACATACACATTATAATCAGATAACACAAGGCATAAAAAAACCAAACTCTATCTGTAGTTCTGGGTTCTGCTCTTGTATGGTTAATGCTTAGTTCAATCAGAAAGACAAATTTACAGCCCTCCAAAAACCTCAGCCAAGAAAAAGCGATAGTATAACAGAATGGTAAAGAGCAAGGGCACTGAAGTTGACTGCTAGGGCTTAAATCTTGGTCCCATCACTTGTTGTGTTACTGAGAGCAATCACTTAGCCTCTAAGCCCATTTATCTATAAGATGGGTTTGCTAGCCGTGCCTTCCTCAGGGTTGTTGTGAGAATGAAGGAGTTACTACTGTAAGTATAAAGCTTAGCACACAAATACCCAATAAGCAAGTAGAGCTTGTATTATAAGGAGAACAAATTGGTTGTTTTTTTTTGTTTGTTTGTTTGTTTTTCTTATTCTGGCAGGAATCTGTTTTGGTTCATTAAAGGGTTTTTTTTTTTGCCATGACCAGGAAATCCAGATTTTTAGACTACTGTGTCCTAAATATACATGTAAGTCAGAATTCCTGGAGTCCAGTACTGGCTCTACCATTTCCAAGTATATGACCTTGGATAATGACAGGGTCCAAAATGAAAGGTAATAAATGGTTATTTAGTTGTGTGTTTTTTTTGTTTTTTTGTTTTACATAATTAGGTCATGCACAGGTAAGGAAACTCCTTGCAAAGAGCCCTGCATGTGGCAAACTTTCGGCAAAGGACATCTATTACTATAATCATCCCTGACCTGCCTACTACTCCATTTTGTGGTGAACATCAAAAGATGAAATAGGGGCAAAGATGTTTTGTTAAACAAGGCTAGGAAAAGGAATAAGGGATTATTGTTACCACTCAGTTTTTGTTTTATTTTGCATCTATAGTAAACTGGCATTTCACTTGAATAAACAAGTAACGTTCAATTTCTGTTGTTTTATTTTAGAGTCTGTTGTTGTTTACAATCACACTCTACAAACTTTACCAGAAGGGCTCAGATTTTTTGCAGGCTTTGCTGCTCAACCCAGAAGGGGTTAGTCTCCCAGTTCAAGACAAAAATATCCTCCTGTCCTTGGGTCTGCAAGAGAAAATATTGAAACAACTTCAGATGGTGGAAAGCAAAGTGAAGAACCTGGAGGGGATGATCATTTCTCAAAAACCTACCACGAAGAGGGATTGCTCCTCCGAGCCCTACTGCAGCTGCTCCGACTGCCAGAGTCCCTTGCCTACATCAGGGTTTACTTCCACATCTGAAATCTGATGGACTCCAATCTTTTCCAAAAAAGCACCGTTTCCCTTATGTGTGCAGTGGTGTACCAATAAAGGTAGAGAACTGTATTGAAATTACCCTGCAAGGCCTGGCTCTCTATTTGGTAGAGCCCAGCTTTTACTTGTGTGTTGGGGTAATACTGGGTAGGGTGGTGGTTTAGAATGTCTCTGGGATTGTGGTGCCCATTCAGCAGGCTGGAGACCCGAATCTAGGGAGTGAGAAAAGAAGGGAGAGTGGTCATGGATATGGCCTTCCACTCCATACCAAAGAGGTTGGGTTGGATATAATAAACAGCAAGAATGTGCTACTGAAGGCAATGCTGTGGACTGTCCTGTAGAAGTAGGCTGGCCCTTGTGCTGGTCTTGGGTATAAATTAACTATTTGGCCCAGGACTCTCCCAGCATTAATTACTCAGGAGTGGCCAAGAGTGGGGGTAGACATAAAGGAGAGTATTTAACTTTACCCAACTTTTTTTTTTTTTAATAAATCTTTATTGTTCATATTATTACAAAAGTTCCTCATTTCCTCCCCCCCCTTCCACCAGGTTCCCACTCCACCCTCTGCCCTTTCCCCACCCCCCAATGTCCTCATCCATAGGTGCACAGTTTATGTTCAGTCTCTTCCTGCACCCCCCACTCCTTTTTTCCCAAAGAATCGTCAGTCCACTCCCCTTCCATACCTCTGATTCCATTATATTTAACAGTTAATATTGTTCATCAGATTTTTTAATTCCCTTGGTTTTTAGATTCACTTGTTTTTGTTTGTTTGGGGGGTTTTTTTTTTAAATAAATTTGTATTGTTCATATTATTACAAATGTTCCTTTCCCCCGCCCCTTCTCACCCCATCCTCTGCCCTTTCCCCACCCCCCATTGTCCTCATCCATAGGTGCACAGTTTATGTTCAGTCTCTTCCCACATCCTCCTCTCCCCTTTTCCCCAAGAATAAACAGTTCACTCCCCTTCCATACCTCTGATTCTATTATATTCAACAGTTAATATTGTTCCTCAGATTTTTTTTTTTTTTAGTTTCCTTGGTTTTTAGATTCACTTGTTGATAGTTACGTATTTGTTGTTCATAATTGTTATCTTTATTTACTTTCTCTTCTGAAAGAACCCCCTTCAGCAATTCATATAATTCTGGTTTGGTGGTGATGAACTCCTTTAGCTTTTTTTTTTTAGTGAAGCTCTTTATCTGACCTTCGAATCTGAGTGATAGCTTTGCTGGATAGATTATCTTTGGCTGTAGGTTCTTGCTATTCATCACCTTGAATATTTCTTGCCATTCCCGTCTGGCCTGCATGGTTTCTGTTGAGAAATCAGCTGACAATCGTATAGGTGCTCCTTTATAGGTAACTACCTTCTTTGCTCTTGCTTCTTTTAATATTCTCTCTTTGTCTTTTGCTCTTGGAATCTTAATTATGATTTGTCTTGGTGTGGTCCTCTTTGGATTCCTTTTGTTTGGAGTTCTGTGCGCTTCCTGGACTTGTAAGTCTAATTCTTTCACCAGGTGGGGTAAGTTTTCTGTCACTATTTCTTTCGGTATGTTTTCGATATCTTGCTCTCATCTTCTGGGACCCCCATAATTCTGATGTTGGTTCGCTTGAAATTGTCCCAGAGGTTTCTTACATTATCTTCAACTTTCTGGATTCTCTGGCCTTCTTGCGTCTGCGGAGGAGTGTCTTCTGGCTCTTTATGTTCCAAATCTTTGACTTGATTCTTGCGATCTTCCATTCTGTTTTTAGGACTCCATAAAATATTTTTTATTTCAGACAATGTATTCTTTATTTCTTGTTGATCCCTTATTATTTCTAGTTGATCCCTTTTCATATCCTCATAGGTCTTGTTTATTTTATCGGCCTTTTCTAGGAGATTCTTGAACAACCTTATAAGTGTGGTTTTGAACTCTATATCCAGTCGCTTTTTGTCCTCAATTTCTTTCGTTTGTGATCTATTTGGTTTAGGCATTTTCGCAGGCAGCTTTCCTGATGGGGCGGGGTTTCAGGGTGGAGCCTACAGCCTTGGCTTCCGTCAGCCCCGCCCTATGCGACTCCTGAGACTCAGGGACCTTCAGTACTTGTTGCGAGCGCCTCTGAGAGAAAGGTGCCCTCGATTTTCGCCTGCTGCCAAACTGTCTATGCTCTCCCCCAATGAGTCCGGTATTGGGGTTCAGGTCAGTTGGTAGTGGGATTGGAGGTGGTGTTCAGAGCAGTCTGGAGCCCCTGTCTCCTTCCCATCAGGGCAATCCCGCGGCACAGCCGGCCGGCCCTTCTCTGCGCGCAGTGTGCGCGCCTCCGGGACCTCCTTTCGCCGCTTCCTCGGAGTCCCGCCTTACAGCCCGGCTCCCTATGGATGAGCCTGGGTCCCCCGGGTCTGGCCTAGAATTGGGGTTCAGAGCAGTTGGAGCTGGGCCCAGCACAGTCGGAGCTTTTCTCTCCTTCCCGCTTGGGACCGCTAGCCAGGCACTCGGCCTCTCTCCTCTCTGGCTCTGTCCTCTCTGCGCGCGCCACGTGTCTCCGTACCTTGGGCTTTTACAGCTCCTCCGCGCTTCCTTCTGGTTTTCTCCTTGCTTCTTGTTGTAGAATTTCCAGTCAGTCGACTTTCCTGTAGTTCTGGGTAATGTCCATTTTATATTTTAGTTGTATTTTGTTGAAATTGTTGTGTGCGGCTGCGGCTAGTTGCCTACCCGAGCAGCCATCTTGGATTCTCTCTAGATTCACTTGTTGATAGTTACATATTTGTTGTTCATAATTTTAATCTTTATTTTCTTCCTCTTCCTAAAGAACCCCCTTCAGCAATTCATATAATTCTGGTTTGGTGGTGATGAACTCCTTTAGCTTTTTTTTTTTTTTTTTTTTTTTTTTTTTTTATTATTATTAGTGAAGTTCTTTATCTGGCCTTTGATTCTGAGTGATAGCTTTGCTGGGTAGATTATTTTTGGCTGTAGGTTCTTGTTATTCATCACCTTGAATATTTCTTGCCATTCCTGTCTGGCCTGCACGGTTTCTGTTGAGAAATCAGCTGACAATCATATGGGTGCTCCTTTATAGGTAACTACCTGCTTTTCTCTTACTGTTTTTAATATTCTTTGTCTTTTGCTCTTGGAATTTTAATTATGTTGTGTCTTGGTGTGGTCCTCTTTGGGTTCCTTTTGTTTGGGGTTCTGTGCACTTCCTGGACTTGTAAGTCTATTTATTTCACCAGGTAGGGGAAGTTTTCTTTTACTATTTCTTTCAATATGTTTTCGATATCTTGCTCTCTCTCATCTTCTGGGACCCCCATAATTCTGATGGTGGTTCTCTTGAAGTTGTCCCAGAGGTTTCTTACACTATCTTCAACTTTCTGGATTCTCTTGTCTTCTTGCTTCTGTGGAGGAGTGTCCTCTGGCTCTTTATGTTCCAAATCTTTGACTTGATTCTTGCGATCTTCCATTCTGTTTTTAGGACTCTGTATAATATTTTTTTTTATTTCAGACAATGTATTCTTTATTTCTGGTTGATCCCTTTTCATATCCTCATAGGTCTCATTTATTTTATTGGCCTTTTCTAGGAAATTCTTGAAAAACCTTACAAGAGTGGTTTTGAACTCTATATCCAGTCACGTTTTGTCCTCCATTTCTTTGGTTTGTGATCTGTTTCCTTGTCTCGGCATTTTTGCTGCTTCCCTGAGTTGGTAGCGTGGCTTTGTGTGTTAAGGTGTCCTATATGGTTAAGTGGGTCAGCCTCCCAGTTATCTGAGGTAGACACTCTTGGTGCACTCCTTTGTGGACTGTGTGTACAGTCTTTTGTAGTTAAGTCTTAATTGTTGTTGGTATCACTGGGAGGAACTGACCTCCAGGCCAATTGGCTGTGAGGATCAGCTGTCTAATTTTCCCAACTTTTATTGATCCTTCCTCTGTGCTAAGCAGTGTGATAATTCTTGGGAATCTGTCCTGAGTGTTTCAGGAGCATTTAGTTTGGTTGACTGGACAGGTGATTTCAGAACAAGGAATTATAACACAGTGGGGTCATAACATCTTGAATTTAGGGGAACTCTCATGTGAATCCAGTTTGGCAGTGCTCAGTTGGTTAGAGCATCATCCCAATGTGTCAAGGTTGCAGGTTTGGTCCCGATCAGGGCACATACAAAGATCAACACTATGATACAATTTTCACATGTATGGGGAGATGGTAACTAATCTTTATTGGGCAAACCAGCACACTGCTAAGATATTTACATGATTTTTCTTATTTGGTCCTCACAATATGAGAAAGCAAATACTATTATTCTCATTTTACTGATCGGAAACTGAGGTACAGAGAGGTTAAGCAACTTGCTAATATATGATACAACTATGACTGGCACTCAAGCAGCCGGACTAAATGTTCACTCTTAGCCACAAAGTTTGGAGCTTCTGTGAAATTTTGGACCAACTGTAGCAGGTTGGATGGACCTAGACAGATGAAGACAAGACTGAAGAGGGTATAGCAATGGTAGACCAAGGGAGAGAGAATTTGGAAAAAGAGTTTATCCCTTCATATTTTAAGTTAACATCTAAGTTTTCATAATTCATTTAAATAGTTGCAATGGAGCCCTAGCCAATTTGGCTCAGTGGATGGAGCGTGGGCCTGTGGACCCAAGCGTTCTATTCCGGTCAAGAGCACATATCTCATTGCAGGCTCCTCCCCAGCCTAGGCCCTGGTCGGGCATCATGCAGGGAAGCAACCAATTGATGTGTTTCTCTCACATCGATATTTCTGTCTTTCCTCTCTCTTATACTCTAAAAATCAATGGAAAATCTTGATTAAAAAAAACCAAGTGGTTGCAATGCATGTAAATTCTGGCAAATTACCAGAATAAATAATGACAATTTAAGATAAAATTGTAAAATTACTTTTTATAATGTATCCAACAGAATCCACATAAATAACCACTATCATCCATTTAAAATTATACAAGTAAGCTCTTTAACATTTGTCAATTCTACATTTTCTTTTATCATTTCTAATTTACATTTATATTCCACTTTCCCATAAAATGTTATCCAAATGTAACTTTTTGTTAGTAAAACCTTTAATTGATCCTTGTTTGGGATAAAAATATGTACCTATTAGAATTTTTAAAATTTTTGTAATTGTATGTGTCTATGTATTAGAATTCTTTGAATTGACCAGTTATTATAATTATCATTACAATTAATTATTAAAAATCTGTGCAAAATTATATTACACATTTAATAATAAACATAAAATGTAAAACACTTCTATAAATGTATTTCTTAGTGATGGGTGGGGCTTCCCCACCAATGAACTCATGTCTGAATGACTATTACTAATTAACTTGTTTGTTTCTGTAGATATAGTACTGAGAAATATTACTCCATAAATAGGAATGCTAGTTTTCTAATAGAAATGTCAATTAATTCTTTTATTTCCTTCTCCGTTATATACCACAAATCAAATAATGTCCCTTCATTAGCTGACAATTCAATTAGGTCCACCACCAATTTTGTTGAAAGCAAAGAACTGAAAACAATTTGACTTGCAAAACAATTTATTCTGTCATTACAGTCCATCACTTTTTCAAGTGACATTTAATTATATAACTACCCTCATTTAAAAGCATTTCGGAAACGTTGGGAAACTCAAGATAGTGTTAATTTCCACACATCTTTAGCACTGCGATTTCACTGTAATTTAAATCTATTTTAGTTGCAGCTGCAGATTTCGCTCAATTCATTGCAAATATTGTAATTATGCACAGTAGCAATGCCACTCTGTCAATCCAATGAACCAAGTCAGATTTATCTTCCGTCGGGAAATATTTCACTTTTCAAGTCAAACAAATGTGCTCCCAGGCGTCCCCGTGGCCACATTTCACGGCTGAATTCCAAGACGGACACGGCACTGTGCTTTGGGAGGAGCTTGTCCCTGAATCCAGTGAGGCCTCTTCACTTGGCTCCAGCGCACTCTCTCTCTTCGGCAAAAGGCCGCCTTGGACTCGCTTGAGGTGGAAGAGGCGAGGTTTTGAATGAAAATCTCATCCCTCCGGCCCATTCTCTAACATACCTGAATTCAGAATCCCCCGATTCAGGCCACAAGACAGCACTTACATGCCTGGTCTCCCTGTTAACTATCCCGTTAATCCTAAAGTGTCCCGGGATGAACATCCCACCATCCGAATAGCATTAGTTAGGAATGGCCTCTAGAGCCCGAGACTTCGGCTCCTCCCTCCTCCTTCCCAGTAACTCCGGGGCCGGAGTGCCCGCCCGGTGCCCCTTCCGGTGGGCTCGTCCCGGCAGGGAATACGGCTCAGGTCGCAGCCCAGCAGGGCCAGCTCCGAAGCGAAGAGAGGCCATTGCAGATCTGGAAGCTAGAAAGCAGCGCCAGAGGGGAGCCGGGAGCCTCGGCAAGGAGCGGGAGGGAAACCATGTTGGTGTGCAGCTCAGCATGACCAGGTCTGCGGCCGGAGCCGGGTTGGCGGAGGCCGGAACGCGGCGTCAGGGTTTCAGTTCCCCGGAAGTGAGGGAGGCGGGAATGGTCCGTTTCCGGCAGAGACGGGGCAGGCCGGAGAGGCATGGGCAGCGGGAAGAGTATCTGTGTGACACCGCCGGCTGCGCGCAGGGCGTGGGATGGGGGCGGACGCCGGTGCAGGGGCGCTCGGAAGGGACGGAAATAGCTGTGACACCAGCCGGCCGCTCTGAGGGGACCGCGTCGGGGTGGCACTGGTTGCACGCTTTAAGGAGCCGGCGGAACCGGGTGGCCGCGGGGATGTGGGCGTCGCTGGACCCGTTGTGGGAGATGCCGGCCGAGAAGCGTATCTTCGGGGCCGTGCTGCTGTTCTCTTGGACCGTGTACCTCTGGGAGACCTTCCTGGCGCAGCGGCAGGTGAGCCCAGCCCGAGCCCAGCTGATCCCGACACCCGGCCAGCCCTGGTCTCCACCCCAAGTCCCCGAATGAATGCTGCACCCAGCACCCAGCCTCGACCCTCTCGAGTCTCCACTGAGCCCCCTGATTTGTCCCGATGGTGGGATTGGCCTTGAGAGGACCTGGTGCCTTGGGGACGTTTTCCGCAACGTGATCGTGGGACTCAGGCGGGTAGGGCCTGGTGGAAGGGAAAGCAGCCTGCCGTCTGGTCAGGTTTGGCTCTTATGCCTGCCCCGCAGCTTCCTTAAGGCCCCCGGGCTTATCTTTGTTGTTATCTTTGGCAGCGATCTATAGGCCTTCAAAGGGAAGATTTTAGAATCACTAACATTTTAGAAGCACAACTTCCTCGTGACGTTTCACAGTCTTGCTCAACCTTAGGATCGGGAAACCATTTTCTGAAAATAAATCCCTCCGAGGACCTGAACTCTTTTTCCTTAAAAAAAAAAAAAAAAAAAAAAAAAAATTCAGAGTCTTGTCCGCCTAGAGAAGATAATTTGCATAAAGGAAGCAAGCACACAATATGTAGTATCTAAATTGGGAGTGGGTTTGAACATCTGTCTTAAATAATAAGCCTATTTCAGTAACTACTTTTCTATAGTGTCTTCTTTACTCAGTTATGCCTTCATGGAGTGCCTTTTAATGAGGGTTTAGTAAGAGGCACAACAATAAATAGAAAAGCCTTTTGTCATAAAACCATTGTAGAAGATACTGTCCATTATATTATTTGATATCTGTTCCTTGTATTGTGTCCCCTGAGCTGAAAGTATCTTTTAGCATTTGATTTAACAAGAAAATTTGACTTTTTTGAAGATCTGATATGTTTGTGTCTGTTATTCCTCAAATTTTCCTTAATTTGGCTGCTTGGACCAAATTTAATTTCTAGCCACAATATCTGTTAATACTCATGGTTAGCATATTTAGTTCCTTGTATGCTAACCAGGAGTATTAACAGATATTGTGACTTGTAATTTGTTTGCATGAATTCCTTTTCTGAATTATAGGATATATTTATACCTGAAATGGATGGTATCATTTGTGGTTTATATATGCAAGCTGAAGTATGATGACAACACTGATTCTAATCTTACATAGTCAGCCAGCTTCAGATTCTCTTGTTCTTCTTTTACTTTCTGTATTAGTTGCTTTAGTAGACAATGTGTTTGATCAAATACATTATTTGTGTATGTATAAAGCAAATTCAATAGGCTTATGTGGCAAATTAACACTATAAACCATTCAATGTTTGATCATGAATGACTATTGTAATAAATAATGACTTGGTTTGACTGTTTTACTAAAGTGTTTTCTTCAAAATATTTCAGAGACGGATATATAAAACAACAACTCATGTACCAATGGAGTTAGGACAGATCATAGATTCGGAAACGTTTGAGAAATCTCGACTGTATCAGCTGGATAAAAGTACCTTCAGCTTTTGGTCAGGACTCTATTCAGAGATCGAAGGCACTGTGAGTAATTTACTTCTTGAAGAGACAATCTATCAAATTGTTTAATACTTTTTAACAAATATATTTTTATTGATTTCAGAGAAGAAGGGAGAGGGAGGAGGGAAAGGGAGAGTGAAGGAGAAATATCAATGATGAGAGTGAATCATTGATCGACTGCCTCCTGCACATTCCACACTGGGGATCAAACCCACAACCTGGGCATGCGCCCTGATAGGGAATCGAACGGTGACCTCCTGGTTCATAGGTCATCGTTCAACCACTGAACCATGCTTGCTGGGCTGTTTAATACTTTGTAATGTTTGTTTTCCTTTTTATATTTTTTAAAATATAAATACATGTACCAATCTCAGAATGCTTTTCTTACCTTTGTTAATGATAGAATAGGTCTGAAGCAAAAGAGGCAGGAATGTAGCTGTTATGATTTCAGATATATGTAGAACCTAATGAACAAAATAAACTAATAAAATAGAAACAGACTCATAGGTACTTGTAGAGAACAGACTGACAGCTGTCAGAGGGGAAGGGGTTTGTGGTGCTGGGTGGTAGCTTTATTGTTACAGTTGGTGACATGGGGGTGGTTCAGTTTGCTCTAGGAGATGGTAGAGGCAAGGAGAGTACAAACAGAATGAGCGCTCTGTCATCTGCTGTGGCTCAAGCTAGAAGCAGTACTGATGGGCGAAAGGTGAGAACAGGAATAGTCATTGTAATAGCTGTATGGGTAGTGATTTTTCACTTCGTATATTATTTTTATATTTATCGCTTTGTTTGATGTTTACAACAGTCTCTGTGGTAGAAAGTATAGGCATTATTCCCTTTTTATGGCTGAGAAAGTGAAGGCTCAGAGAAATTAAATGGCTTGCCTTTTTAATGACTAGGTGTCACTAATAAATAGGAAAATGGGTTTCAAACTCTGCTCTTCTGAGTCTTTAAAACTACATTGAAGAAACCATTCTCGAAACTCTAGAGACTGCAGCATGAATGTGCTATTTCTCCTTGGGGAATTAGCAGCTACATTTGCCATTAGATATGAAGCATTTTGTGTTACTTTGAAATCCTGTTCTGTTTGAAAACAAGTTCATTAATTCCTGTTTTGTATTGATTCAAATCAATAGGCTTGATCACAGAGAACAAGTACAAAGATTAACTTAAACTTTTTTTCTTGCCTTAGTATTTTTTTTTAAAATCAATCCTTATTGTTCATATTATTACAAAGGTTCCTCATTTCTTCCCCCCTCCACCAGGTTCCCACCCCACCCTCCGCCCCCTCCCCATCCCCCATTGTCCTCATCCATAGGTGCAATTTATGTTCAGTTTCTTCCTCCCTCCCTTTCCCCGATAGTAAATCCCTTTTCAGATAGTAAATCAGTTACTTAGCATTTTCTCATATCAATAATACCACCACATGCCCAATGATACATTTCACACAAAAGACATTTCCAAATAGGTCAACCAGACTCATCCAGGCCCCACCCAAGGCACTCACAGATCAACACAGATCAACACCCCAGCCCTATACTAACTCAACACATCCAGATCTAAGCCTTCATCACTTGATTCAGCAGACCCTCAAGTTAACCCAAAAGTTTCCAGCCATGTCTGAGAGGCAGCCGTGGGGCAGGGGCAGGCGAGGAGCGAGCCGTTCCGGGCCTGGCTGCTCCAGGCCTGGCCTCTGTTGCTCTGGTTCGTTCCACAACCAGCTGCTCCGGGTCTGGTCACCGCCGCTCCCGACCTAGTTGCTCTGGACCTGGCTGCTGCTGCTCCGGGCCTGGCCGCACCCGACCCGGCTGCTCTGGGCCCGGCTGCTTCGGGCCTGGCCGCTCCCAGCCTGGCAGCCGCTGCTCCGGGCCTGACCACACCAGACCCGGCTGCTCCGGGCCTGGCTGCTCCCAGCCTGGCAGCCGCTGCTCCAGGCCTGGCCGCACCAGACCCGGCTGCTCCGTTGCCTTAGTATTTTTTACCTGAGGGAACATAAGCAGAGGCCTTGTGTGCCCACAGGTGCCACTGTTGACTCATACGTGACAGCACCCAGAGAGAAAATGCCCAGCCTCTCAGACAGGCTTTCCTAACTTCTCATAGAGATCAATAAAGAGCCCTCTTAGGAAATGGAATGGCCGAAGAGTAGCGTAGGGCCGAGTAGAAAAGTTTCAATTGTTGCTGCTTTAATTTCTGCTTATTTCTGGGTGAGTTTTAGCCTCTTTGAGCCTCATTTTTCTCCTCTTTAAGATGAGAAGTAGGTAGATATTAAACCATGTCGCTCGTGGTTTATAGCAAGGACTAAGGAAGATAATGTAAGTGAAGCACTTAGTACAGTGCTTAACACAGCAATTACTTAGTCATTGGGTTTCTTGAGGCAAATTCCTGAACCTTTCTGAGTTTCAGTTGCCTCGTCTATAAAACAGAAATGACTATGCTCTTGCCCTGCCTGCTTTACAAGACTTACTTCAGTGAAATTATAAAAGCACTGGACTTATTATTGCTGAGATCATTAGTTCTTTTTATAGGCTATCCCAGGAGCCTACTCAGGGAGAGTATCAATATAGAGAAAGTTTATTGTTCACTGTACTTAGTTTTTCACTCCTCAGAGGATCTAAACAAGGTTGCAACAGCAGTACCCAAATACATTCATAGATGCATTCAAAGTTCATATTAAAGCTACCCTTGGTACTTACTTAAAAGCTGGACTTTTAATTTTAAGTGTTTCAGCCCTTCACCAAAGACATTATAAATCCTTGATTCTGTATTATTTATTAGTATTGAGAATAGGATGAAAGAAATTCATCCCAAGTCGATTAGTTCAACAAGTGGAGCATATATCATGCACTGATGCCAAAGCATGTCTTTTGGGAAAACAGGGTTTACACCTATGATTGAGTTAGTTATTGTACAGTGAAAATAGCTGGACATAGAACTAAGGGAGCCTTTTAAAGCAACTTATTAAAACAGTGTTTTCTAAATTTGGGTGTACATCAGATTTATCTGGAGACTGCTGGGCCCCATTTCCAGTTTCTGATTCAGAAGTTCCGGTGTGGAGCCTGAGAATTTGCATTTCTAACATATTCCCAGGTAATGCTGCTATCCAGAGATCATATTTGAGATCACTGGTATTAAACCAACCCAGTGTACTGGTAAAAATCTAAAAGATGGATAGCACCCACTGTGAGTGAGATTGTGGGGAAACAGGAACACTCAATAATGCTGATGGGAGCATACTTTGGTATAAATACTTTAGAAAACAAGCTGATTATACTGAATAAAGTTAAAATTCACCAAGGATGGATCTAAAAAAATGTAGAGTATAAAAGGCAGGTTGTACCATATGATGTCATTTATATACATTCTTAAAAAGCATGTATAAACCACGATATTATTTATGGATTCGTAGGTAAAAATGCAAAGTAGGTTGGGAGAATACCCATGAACTATATTAAAGTGCCTCAAACCCTCAAAGCACAAGGAACTGGTGGGATATTGTGCTTCTAACCAAAAAGTGTGATTGATCATTGTATTCCTGAGACTCCACAGGAAGAAACAATAAATTGATTCTTCTTGACCAAATGAGTTTCACAAACTTGTATCTGTTGTGGGAAATACGTGTTTCTTCAGCATGTATTCTCAGATTTTAAGAGCTTCCTCACGCCAGTGTCCAAATGATTTGGTGAATATCTGTGTTCACTTTATTTGCCAAAGACAAAGGTGTGCTGAGACAGGGGTCTCCTATGAAACCCTGACTCCTACCTCAGGATTCACCTTCTCCTTACCTGGAGAAGGCCCAGAGAGTCCATTCTGTCCCAATTTGATAAGTGGACAGGCAGGAATCAATACTGATACTTTGTCCTGGCTGAAGGGGTGATTTTTTTTTTTTTTTTTTTTTTTTTTAGGAAAAGCCAGTTATGGAGCCATAAAACCTGGTTCAATCCATTTCTGTCACTCAGTAGTTGTGGGATTTTGGATAAGTTGCTTAGCCTTTCTAATCTTATTTCCTGATTCAGAAAGCCTTTTATGGTCTTTTGGCAAAAGTTTTTTTTTCTTTCTTTAAACAGCTTTATTGAGATACTAGAGGCCCAATGCATGAAATTCGTGCAAGCGTAGGCTTTTGCAGCTGTGGTAGCTGCCTGGATCCCTCCCTACCTCGTAGCCACGTCCGGAAAAGTGTCCAGAAGTACGTCCGGTCTAATGAGCTTATTACACTTTTATTATTATTTTTTTTCCCCAGTGATGAAAAAAATGTATTAACACATAGGGAAAAAAAGCATAGACCAAAATACAACTATTCTACACACTACTGCAATTTCCTAATATACATATTCATTCACAAGTACTACATATTTTATTTATCCCAAATCCAAATTTCCAAAAAGATAAATCAGTAGGAATAGTTTTTCTCTCTAGAATAGTGTTCAATAAACAACATTCCATTTATTATAACAGTCCTGAAGTATTACAAGATGTTATAAAATCTGAATCAGGTTATATTGTGTTCAAATGGCTCAATTCTTTGCAAATCATAATTCTTTAAGGTATGTTAAAAGTTAAAGTCATAATGCTTCCTCCATAATTATACTTGATACACATCACTTTAACAATACAAAAGGCAATGCCGGCATGGTTACTGGGACCTGGAGTGTGGTGAGGGGATCAGCCCCAGTTAAGCTAACGAGTGAGGAATCCACCACACCCTCCAGCACCTTCCTTCTGTGCTATTGCTCTCACTCCTCCAGGGTATCTTGATGTTGAGTGAAAAAAAAAGCTAGCACTTCCGTTTACATTACAATTATCTGACTTCTCCCTAGCACTCATGTTCTCGAGTTACAAAAACACACATACACAAACATTGAGAGCCTACCTGACAGTTAAAGCACTCCTCCCTCTCCAGTGTGGACTCTCTGATGTTTGGAAAGATTTGACTTACTACAGAAGGTTTTCCCACAATTATTACACCAATAGGGCTTTTCTCCAGTATGGATTCTATGATGTTTATTAAAATTGGAGCTGTGGTTGAAGGCTTTTCCACACTCCTTACATTTATACGGCTTTTCTCCAGTGTGGAGTCTCTGATGAGAACTAAGACCTGCGTGCTGACTAACGCTCTTTCCACATTCATTACACTGATAAGGTTTCTCTCCGGTGTGTATTCGATAGTGTCGAATGAGGCTGCCTTTACCACTGAAAGCTTTCCCACAATCTTTACACTGATATGGTGCCTCTTCAGTTACACTTTTATTATTATAGGTAATTCACATATTACAAAATTCACCCATATAAAATGTATAGGCAAATACCTTTTAACTGTCTAAGTTTAGTATCTCAATTGGTCTATATTCATCTAAATGCATATTTTATCCTAAATAAGACAGGTCCTTTTTTCTCTATACCATGATGGTTTCTAGTACTGCTCAAATGTGAGCAAGGTATGCTTTGTTTTATAGCTTATTCTTCTCTTTGGAGGAATCCCTTATCTCTGGAGACTTTCCGGACGGTTCTGTGGCTGTGCTGGCTTTGGACCAGAATATGAGGTATGTACATCCTTTCTTAGCTTCCGTGGCTCTGAAACGATAGCTGTCCTTTGTGTGCACCTTTTGGAGGGGAACCGCTCATTTAGTCTCAGACGCGGGGAGCTGAGTGAGTAATGTAGTCTCTGGTTAGGAAGCTGCTTCTCGGGAACAACTCTGCAACGAACGGGAAGGCATGTGTTTTGTTGAGCCCTCACTACGCAGGTACTCTGTGCTACACAACTTAGCAGAGACTTCAGACAAAGACAGAGTGTGTGTGTGTCTCTTACAGTCTCCGTTGAACTTCTTGGTTTGTCTGCCCCCTCTTCCAGGAACTCCAGTTGAAGGCAAAGCCTTAACCCTGAGGCTGCCCACCTGTAAGGATGTTGAGACACTGCTTCCTGGCTTTCCCTTAGAAAGTGCCCAGTCTGTTCCCTCCCCCCTGATTCCTTTTTGAAATGATGGGTCTCTTCTACATATGTATATAGGTACCTTGGGCTTTAATTCAGCTCATCTGATTGATGTCCCTTTTCTAAAGCAGCCAAATTCTTTTAGGGTCCCTTTTTTTTAAAATATATTTTTATTGATTTCAGGAAGAAAGGGAGAAGGGGAGAGATAGCAACATTAGTGATGAGAGAGAATCACTGGTTGGCTGCCTCTTGCAGGGCTCCCACTGGGGATCAAGCCCACAACCCTGGCATGTGCCCTGACCAGAATCCAGCCACGATCTCCCAGTTCATAGGTCAGCACTCAACCACTGAGCCACACTGTCTGGGCTATTTTCTTTTCTTTATAAAGGCACTTACCACTATTGCAGTAATTTTATTTGTTTGTTTTCTTTTTATTGCCCTGACAAGAATTTTAAGTTTTAAGGAGACAGAGACTTTATATATACAGGTGTAGGCAAAAGTAGGTTTACAATTGTGAGTACATGAAACAGTTTATTTTTCATAATTATTTAATAATTATAATTATTGTATTATTTATTTGTTTTACAATTGTAAACCTACTTTTGCACACTTCCTGTAGTCTTTTTTTTTAAATATATTTTTATTAATTTTTTACAGAGAGGAAGAGAGAGGGATGGAGAGCTAGAAATGTCGATGAGAGAGAAACATCGACCAGCTGCCTCTTGCACACCCCCTACCGGGGATGTGCCCACAACCAAGGTACATGCCCTTGATCTGAATCGAACCTGGGACCTTTCAGTCCGCAGGCCGACACTCTATCGCTGAGCCAAACCAGTTTTTCGGCACTTCCTGTAGTCTTCATTGCTATGTCACTAGTGCCTAGGGCAGTGTCAGTCACAGAGTAGGTACTCCATAAATATTTGTTGAATGAATGAACACTGTCTATATACATATTATGAGATATTATTTTTGGATTTAACATGTTTTGGAGATTTCTTCCTGTCCATATATATAGATCTTTGTCGTGTGTGTGTGTGTGTGTGTGTGTGTGTGTGTGTGTTTTAATTTTAATCTTCACCGGAGGATATACTTTTACTAATTTGAAAGAGAGAGAGAAACATTGATCGGTCACTTCCCACACTTGCCCCAAATGGAGATCAAACCTCTAACCAATAGAGCCACCCCTCCAGGTGATCTTTGTTCTCGTTAATGGCTGTGTAGTATTGGTTGTCCATTCTTTGCACAGTTCTGGTGTACACAAATTTCAATTACACAGTTTAGTTAAATAATACCAGTACCGTACCTTAAAAACATGGTTCAAATTTCAGTTGCCATAGTATATTATATGAGTAATCACATACAGTACAAACTTCCTTGCTAGCTCTTTAGTCCACCACAGTTCACTTGGAAATAACAGATTCTCATTGTCATCAGTCACTAATCACCTGCCTTTTTTTTAAGTGTGTCAGTGATTGATCATTGCACATCTGTTTTTCAATTATTCTGAGTACGCATTGTATTGCCTCCTGCTATTTAAAAAAAAATGGATAGAATATCCACCTGACATTTAAAAAAAATAGATAATTGAAAAGGGATTGGCCAACAAAGATAAAAGTGTAGCAAATAAATGAAAAATGGTAACACAGAAGTGAAGTTCAGTTCTGACAGACGGGGAGTTATAGAAGAAATAGCTGGCCTGGGAATGCTGCCCCTGCTATCAAAGGCAGATTTAGATCTGCAGCCAGAGGAACTTGGTGAAGTGACTTATTGGTATAAATGAGGAGAGCGGCTTTGACGGAAAGGACGATGTCCCAGAGTTGGTGTCACTGGCAAAAAACTACCATGTTAAAGGCCTCAATGGTATCTTATGACATTGAAAGCTCAAAGAGTAAAATGTTAAAATGTTCGAAGCTGCTAAAGCTTTGAGAGGAGAATAACAATTTACCAAGACAGAGAAAAGGTGCCATTTCCACACTGCAAGTTACACAACAAGAAGGCGAGCATTGTTCAAACTACTCTTACTTTTTTTTTTTTTTAATATATTTTATTGGCTTTTTACAGAGAGGAAGAGAGGGATAGAGAGTTAGAAACATCGATGAGAAAGATCATAGACCAGCTGCCTCCTGCACACCCCCTACTGGGGATGTGCCCGCAACCAATGTACATGCCCTTGACTGGAATCGAACCTGGGACCTTTCAGTCCACAGACTGACGCTCTATCCACTGAGCCAAACCGGTTTCGGCATACTCTTACATTTTTTACAAACACTAATTATTTTTTTAAAATATGGTTTTATTGATTTTTTTAACAGAGAAGGATAAAGAGATAGAAACATGATCAGCTGCCTCCTACACACCCCCTGCAGTAGATCAAGCCCACAACCCGGGCATGTGCCCTCACCTGGAATCAAACCAGGGACCTCTTGGTTCATAGAGTGGCTCAACCACTGAGCCACTCTGGCGAGGCAAACGCTAATTAATTCTTAATGTTTCTAATGGTTTCAGTTACAGTGTACTAGCCCAGCCATTAAGCCTCAGTAGTTAAGCATTTACCTATGAATCAGGAGACCATGGTTCAATTCCAGATCTGGCCACATGCCTGAGTTTGGACTTGATCCCCAGTAGGGGGCATGAGGAAGCAGCCAATCAGTGATTCTCATCATTAATGTTTCTATCTCCTTTCTCCCTTCCTCTCTGAAATAAAAAAATATATTTTAAATAAATAGTATGATAGTATACTAAATAAATATTAGTTTGATTATTTTTTCATATCCTTACATATTTAGAACTGACAGTAGGAGATAGCCAAAAATTGTAAAGCTCACAAAAAAAAAATCATTATTTTTTTATATTGATTATTAAGATGAGTTGATAAACTAGAGAGAATGGGGGATGTTTCAGAAGATTATAGACAAGCAAATGTCTTGATTTACAAGTCTTTTTTTTTTTTTAATTCTTTATTGTTGAAGGTTTTACATATGTCTCCTTTTCCCCCATTGACATCTTCCTGTCTGCTCCCGCCCCCACCCCCAGCAAATGCCCCCACGTCCCTATTGTCTGTGTCTGTGTCCATTGGTCATGCTTGTATGCATGGATACAAGTCCTTTGGTTGATCTCTTATCCCACACCCCTTCTTTCCCCTGCCTTCCCTCTAAGGTTTGATGGTCTGTTCAATGCTTCTGTATCTCTGACTCTATTTTTGTTCATCAGTATATGTTGTTTATTATCTTCCACAAATGAGTGAGATCATGTGATATTTATCTTTCTCCGACTGGCTTATTTCACTTAGCATAATGCTGTTGCAAATGGTAAGAGATCTTTCTTTTTTACAGCAGCGAAGTATTCCATTGTGTAGATGTACCTCAGTTTTCTAATCCACTCATCTGCTGATGGGCACTTAGGCTGTCTCCAAATCTTAGCTATTGTAAATTGTGCTGCTATGAACATAGGGGTGCATATATCCTTTCTGCTCGGTGTTTCTGAGTTTTTGGACTATATTTCTAGCAGTGGGATTACTAGGTCAAATGGGAGTTCCATTTTTAAATTTTTGAGGAAACTCCATACTTTTTTCCACAGTGGCTGCACCAGCCTGCATTCCCACCAGCAGTGCACAAGGATTCCTTTTTCTCCACATTCTCGCCAATATTTGTTGTATGTTGATTTATTGATGATAGCCATTCTGACAAGTATTACATGGTACCTCATTGTTGTTTTGATTTGCATCTCTTAGATGATCAGTGACTTTGAACATGTTTTTATATGTCTCTTGGCCTTCTGTGCGTCCACTTTCTAAAAGTGTCTATTTAGGTCCTTTGCCTATTTTTTTAATTGGATTATTTATCTTTCTTTTGTTAAGCTGTATGAGTTCCTTATAAACTTTGCATATTTAAACCCTTATCGAATGTAACATTGGCAAATATGTTCTCCCATACGTTGGGCTCTCTTGTTTTGTTGATGGTTTCTTTTTCAGTGCAGAAGCTCTTTATTTTGATGCAGTCCCATTTGTTTATTTTCTCCTTAGTTTCCATTGTCCTGGGAGATGTGTCAGTAAAGATATGGCTATGACATATGTAAGACATTTTGCTGCCTATGGGATTTCCAAATCTTTTAACTGTTATATGCCTTTAGTTAACTTGCATACAGTGCCTATGTAGTAAAAGAGGACTTTTTTTTTTTTTTTGCCTCCTTCTCTAAGAAGTAAACTTTGAGGGTATAGATGATTTTTAGAGTTTGTATTAGCCATAGAATCAAGCATATTGCTTGAGATCTAGTAGGTACTCAGCAATTACTTATCAATTTGTTCACTAAGAATTCATTTTAAGAGTGAATTAATATTACACTATAAAAACCGCTGTGTTTTTGTTTTTGCTTTTCCTTCTTGTGTTTTAGATCACTCAGTCTTTGGTGTTTCTGCTGATGGCTACACTTTTCAGCGCATTGACTGGTTTGCCCTGGAGTCTTTATAATACTTTTGTGATAGAAGAAAAACATGGTTTCAATCAACAGGTATAATAGAAAATGCAAGTGTTCTCCCTTAAATGTGAAGACCTTTTGCGTTCATAATTTACTGTTGTAGAACATGAAATAATTGAGGAAAAAGGGGACTGCATGTGGCAAAGATAGTAGTTTAAAGTCTTGCCATAAACTCTTCTAGCACAATGTCTAGTGCTTTTCAGCTGACACTTAAATGAGTTTATTTTAAACTGTAGAATGCAAGACATTTAGTTATTGTCTTGCGTTATCTAGTGTCATGTCATATAGTCTCACTGCCTTTTAATTTTTAAATTTACTTTCATAATGTGTTCTTTATATTCATTAATTAGTTATTTAATAGCAGTTTCTCAGTTTCTTGTGATGATGTTTTCTTTTTTCAGACTTTGGGGTTCTTCATGAAAGATGCAATCAAAAAATTTATTGTGACTCAGTGCATTTTATTGCCTGTGTCTTCACTTCTACTTTACATTATTAAAATTGGGGGTGACTATTTTTTTATTTACGCCTGGCTGTTCACATTAGTTGTTTCACTGGTGAGTAAAATCTTTGTTTCATGTTTTTTACAAAGTTCCTTGATGGGATAATTATGATATAGTCTTCATGAGCATGTAAACAGTTCTTAAGCAGATAAAATATACATAAGTGATCATAAATTCCCCTATTGGTTTCTGCTTTTGATTATAAAAATAGGAGAATTGACTGACAGATTTTCTTCTCCTTATGTTTGACTTTTACAAATCTTAGAAGCTAGTTGTTTCTTTTAATGATCCAGTTGTCAGGCAATTTTGGGCTATGCATTTATGAGTTGCCACCAGAATGGGTGACACACTTTGGTAATTTAGTGACTCTTGAGTGAGCTCCATTGCCTGAAAATCATGGCTGTTTTGAAGAGAATAGATTGAAAGGGACAAGAAGAAGAAATCATAAATGTACCTGGTGTGTTTTTTTTTGCTTTCTTCCTCTGCTTTTTCCTTCCTTCTTTCTCCCTTTTCCCTCTCCCTTCTCAGTTCCTTCCTCCTTCCTTTCCCCCCTTCTTCCTACCTTCCCTTCTGCTTTTCTCCCCACCACTTCTGCTCTCCTCTCTTCCTTCTCCCTCCCTTTTTCTCTCATTCCCCTTCATTTTCCCTCACTCACATCTTCTTTTCCTCTTCTCCTTCCCGCATTCTAAACTGTTTCACAGCACAAACACTACAACACAATGAAAATTGTCTGTTGACAGCTCCTAGAAAATATCATCTGTCATCTTTTAACTCCACCAATGAGCAGCCTTATTTTAGTCTGAATTACCATGATGCTCATTGCTTCACTTACCACTGGTGGGATCAAGATTAGAAAATGGGCACTAGTTGGATTTACAAATATCTGCTATATGGCAAACGAAGTAAGAGGAAATGCTTCCAAAATACTCAAAGAAGTGCTGTTTAACCAAGTGTACAGTTGTGAACTGCAGATAATTAATTTTGGCAGATCAACCAAATAATAGTTAGCATATAGTCAGGTGCTAGTAATTCTTTTTAGCAAAGACTTCAGATCTGTCATGATTACTCTAAAAGGCAGCATTCCAACTTCTTATGGGTTTATGAAATCCCCAAGACAGTTTTGAATGGACCATTTGACTTTTCAGTTATTACCACTTTGAGACTATTCATTTTGATTTAATTCATCAAACTGATTGAGTTGAGCACTACTATTTGGTACGGTTTGGGACTGGGAATACCAGAACAAATAGATAAGGTCCCTGCTCTCAAGGTTAGGGTCACACAATTGTTTCAATGCAATTGAATCTGTATTATGAGTAGTTCTTTTTTTAGTAGTTCTTTGTAAGAACATATTTATAGGCTGTTCTGACATTTACTTTTCAGGTGCTTGTCACAATCTATGCTGATTACATTGCCCCTTTATTTGACAAATTCACACCTCTTCCTGAGGGAAAGCTTAAACAAGAAATTGAAATAATGGCAAAGAGTATTGATTTTCCTTTGACTAAGGTGTATGTTGTTGAAGGTAAGGCTACTGGGGGTAAGAAGATTTTATTTGACTGGTTTGTTTTATTTGAGTACTTTATTCTTAAAACTTTAATAAATGAACAAATCAGTTTGTTTAAAATTTTGTTATCTAAAGGTTAGAATTTTACATTTTGACCTTTTAGGATTCATAGGAATTGATGATATAGTCCAGGAATAGAAACGGGGGGCTTGGTGTCAATTCCTTTTCTTGCCTGAAGCTGTGTTTGGTTGGCTTTACAGTATTGTTTTTCATTTTGGGCCAAAGCCTTTATCACTCCCTTTAATAGCATGCATATTAGACTGACCTATGGACTTCCGTTACCTGCCTGGCATCTGGTAATTAAGTAGGACTCTTGTATAGTCAAATTTCTTTTAGCACTAGTTTTAGGCGCAAACAAAACCATTGTTATTGGCTTTGTCTTTCATCAAAACTTCCCAGTGTTCTGGAAAACTCTGATTGTGAAAACCTGCAAATTACCAAAAACTGTCCTACCATTGAATAGAGGTAAGCTATCTAGGAGCTTACATAAGACTACTGAAGTCTCAAGGAAGCTTACAGAGATGTCAGTTAAAACTGTTGGGTGGTACCATGACTTTCAGAATCTATAAATAAAGTCCATGTAAATGACCAAGACTAGTTTTGCGTCTGCTACTTACCAGCTGTGGAATCTTGGACAGATCACTTCACCACTCTAGCTTTCAGTTTGCTTCCTCTAAACCTCGGTTTGGCAAGCATTTTCAGTAATACCATAGATAACAAAATATTTTAGGCTTTGCAGGCCATATGTTCTTTGTTGAAGCTATTCAACTATGCCATTATAGTGCAAAACAGCATAGATTATATATAAATATGAGCATGGCTGTGTTCTATAAAACTTTATATATAAAAATAAGTAGCAGATTAGATTGAGCCTGCAGGCCATAGTTTGTCCCTCCATCATTTAAACTAAAAAAATCACCAATTAGAAGCAGTTATATTGGATGAATGAGTAGAAACTGAGAAGTATGTAATTTCAGGGCCAGGTGAGAACAGAGATGGTCGCATATGGAAAGAATGAATTAACAGCAATTAGGAGAGTATAGACATCTCAGATATTTGGTAGCTTCTGAGGTTATACAGGTCAACTAAAGGTACAGTTGGAACATTTCCATGGGGGAAATGGTAAGAGAATAAGCCAATTCATATTACTTCTTTAGCCTCTGAGAATCACTACTCTTAATATTAAACTAGTAGCACACTAAGTAGTACAGTAGGACAGTTTTTCAGGGTCTTTATTGAAGAAGCGATCTAAGTTGCTAATCACTTAAGTTATAATCAGATAACATGAAATCACAGATGATGATATGACAATAGAGGTACTTATATATGTGATATATGATTTTAGATTAAATAGACAAGGCTTTATGTAGCATTATAAGCTGAGAGTTTATAGAAAATCAAGATTTGAGTAGGTGGAAGGGTAGAATGAGTTAATAGCCTTGGCTGAGTCCTAGCTCTATCACAGTTACCTGTGTGACTATGGGCAACTTAACTTCGCTAAACAGATGTTTACTCATTGGGTAATGTATGGTTTTATTGTTGTTAATAATGGTAACAGTCCTCAAAAATATTTTCAATGAGTGAATATTGTTACTAACAATAACAACACATTATAGATTTGTCAATTAAGCCAAGATTCCTGCTCTCAGAAGATATCATATAGCAAGTGCTTTGCAGAGAATTAACCAGTGTGATGTGACGAAGAATGACTGAGTAGACACTGTCGAGTGGGTCATCAGGCAAGACCTCACTGAGCAAATGACTTTAAGCTGAGACATGAGGAAAGGAGCCGTGCATGCTGAAATCAATAGAAAGACCTTTCAGAGCTTTGAATCATCAAGACACAGAAAAAGTCCAATGTGGCTGCCACACAGCAGGAGTGTTAGGACATGAAATCTGAGACAGGCAATAGTCAGACCATGAAGGCCTTTGTAAGTCAGGGGAAGGAGCTTGGGTTTTATTTTAACTTCAAGGGAAAAGCCATTGAAGGTTTTAGGCAGGGAAGTGACATGGTCTGGTTTGTATTTTTAAAATATCTTGGTTTGCTATGGATATAGATTGTAGGGGCGGCCAGAGTAGAAGCAGGGAGAGCCATTAGGAGGTGGTTCTAGTAATCTAGTAGGAGAGAGTGGCAGCCTAGACTAGGGCAGTAGTGACTGATGGAGAGAAGTGGATGCACTGGGGACGTGTTTTAGAGGTAGAGTTGATGGACTTCGCTAATAGATTATATGGAAAAGATTAAGGGGGAAGAAGAGACATCAAGGATAACAACCGAGATTTTTAGCCTAAGCAGTTGGATAAATGATAGTTTACTGAGATTGGAAAAACTGGGAAACAGCAGGTTTATGAGAAATTAAGTTGGGTGTGCTCTATATTGAGATATCTATTGAACATTGAATTAGAATTCTGCAGGCAGTAGCTAGTGGCAAACAGGTAGTACTAATAGAAACTAACTGGCTAATGTAAGCAGGAAAAAATTGCTGTTGAAACACTATTTGGTAGCTTATCACAAGGAAATTAAGTTTACCAAGCTTGGAAGGTGGGCTGTTCCATAGGGAGATGGGGAACTCGGGACTTCACTGCAGAACCAGTGTGGGAGGACACTGCTGTTGCCTCCTCCTGTGGGATACAGCAGTTTGCACCCCTAGTATCCCTGCCACTAGCACCTACAGAATTAGCTCCTCACTGCCCTGCTTCTAGTGCTAACTGTCCGGAGTCCCCAGTGGGTGCATTTACTGACTGAGCCGGGGAACAGGGCTAGCTTCCAGGAATGCTGGGGAAGCAAATATCTGTCTTCTTGTATTTCTTAAATGAGAAGCAGTCTCTCACAAGATTTAAATGGTTTGAATTCCCTTAACCGAACAGAGACTCCAGTCCTGGGCAGGGAAGAAACCACACATCCTATCTAATAAAGAGGGAATATGCTAATTGACTGCCCTGCCCTTAAAGCTAGTGGTGCCCACAGCCAATAAGGAGGAAATATGCTAATTGACTGTCACACCCTCAAAAATGGAAACACCCAGTCCCCTCATCCCTGCTGGGGCCTTGCCGCACACCTGCCTCCGGAGTCCCCCACTCCCCTCAGCCCTCTGGCCACCCAGGGCCAGCCGGAGGCACAGGCAAACCACTGATGGCAGCTGCCCAGCCACCTAGAGCCACCCGAGGCACAGGTAACCAGGGCCAGCTGAGGCTTGCACTGCCAACAGTGGCAGCAGCAGAGATGTGATGGGCATGTCTTCTTCCCTGATTGCCAGGTCACCTCCTGCCCCTGAGGGCTCCCAGACTGTAAGACGGGGCAGGCCGGACTGAGGGACACACCCCCCCCCCCCCCCGCCCCGCACCCAGTTCATGAATTTTCATGCACTTGGCCTCTAGTAAGAATATAAGCAACAAATATGGACTATAGACATCCATGGGGAGATGTAGAGATAGCAAACAGTCAACTGGATGTATGAGTTTGGCATTCTAGGGAGAGGTCGGGGCCAGGAATATTGATATGAAAGTATCTGGCATGTCAATGGTGGTTAATGCCATGAATGAGGGCATTTAGAGAAGAGAGTGAGGCTTAGGTCAGAGTCAGCAGGAGAGGAAGAGCCAGCATCAGACAGGAGAGACTATTGAGATGGGAAGGAAAAGAGGAGAAAATGCTGTTTGTTTTTTTAAATAGGAAAAGAAAATGTTTCAAGGAGGGAATGATCAACTGCAAATGCTGTTGAGAGGTTAAGATTATAAACAAAAATGTCAATGCCTTACATTTGCATAGAACATTTTGATTTTGTGAGTTCTCAAATAAATTGCTTCACACCTCAAGTGGCATCATTAATCCATTTAGCAAACAAGCACTATTGAATATATACTGTATGCCGGGCACAGTGATACAAAAAGCTTACGGTCTAATGTAGGGACTCTTTTTTTTTTTCTTTTTTAATATATCTTACTGATTTTTTACAGAGAGGAAGAGAGAGGGATAGAGAGCTAGAAACATCGATCAGCTGCACACCCCCTACTGAGGATGTACCCGCAATCAGGGTACACACCCTTGACTGGAATTGAACCTGGGACCTTTCAGTCCACAGGCCGACGCTCTACCCACTGAGCCAAACCGGTTTCGGCTAATGTAGGTACTCTTTTTTTTTTTAATATATTTTATTGATTTTGTACAGAGAGGAAGTGAGAGAGATAGAGAGTTAGAAACATCGATGAGAGAGAGTCATCGATCAGCTGCCTCTTGCACACCCCCTACTGGGGATATGCCCGCAACCAAGGTACATGCCCTTGACCAGAATCGAACCCGGGACCCTTCAGTCCCCAAGCCGACGCTCTATCCATTGAGCCAAACAAGTCCCGGCCTAATGTACAATAGGTACTCTTAAACGTTAGTGAGTACTGTATAAGAATTCCCTGGAGAGGATGTTAAAGATAGATTACTGGCCTCCATTACCAGAGGTCTGACCTCATAGGTGTTTCTAGTATTTACTTTCTAACAAGCGCCCTGGGTAATTTTAGTGGAGGGGTTCCTTGGGCCATACTTTGAGACACTTGGATCAGTGGGAGATATTAAGATGTTAATTTTATTTTATTTATATGCCTATAATCTGCCTGCTTCTATAAAAAACTTCAGGCAACAGCTAAGAAATATTTTTAAATTAATTAAAAACAACAGAAGACAGAAATGAAAAATGTAAGACCTCAGAATGATACACGGCTTTCCAGATCCTAAGGTCTGAAGGACTGGCAAAATTGGATCACATATTTGGCAATTAAACAAAAACTGAAAAATAATTAAGTAAATGCCACTATTTATCAATGCCTACTATATTCTAAACATACTGCCAAATGTACTGCTATGTATAAAGAACATATATTCTAAATATACTACTGTATTCTAAATATACTACTAGGCATGCTTTACATTAGGAATATGAGTAGATAAAAACTCACATTTCTATCTGTCCGGAGTGGTTCAGTGGTTGAACATCATCCCATGAACCAGGAGGTCACCAGTTTGATTCCCGGTAAGGGCAAATGCCCCCGTGTCAGGCTCAGTCCCAGTAGGAGGTGTGTAAGAGGTAGCCAATCAGTGATTCTCTCTCATCATTGATGTTCCTATCTCTCCCTCTCTCTTCCTCTCTGAAATCAGTTTTTTAAAATATTTTTTTAATTCACATTTCTGTGAGAGATCTCAAATTCTCAAGAGAAACAAATATTTTATAATTACTTTTTTAAAGTATGTAAATAATAGTTTATATGGCTCAGGCAGTATACTGATTGATTTACTTAGAATTTCTCGTGTAATCCTTAACCTAATCCGATGGCTTGCATCATAAACAGGAAAATAAAGCTTAAAGAAATTTAAGAAAGTTTCTTACTCCACAGCTAATACATGGCAGATCCAAGATTTGAACCCAAAGTCTGCTCATAACCACTAAATTCACTGTAATTATAGAACATTTAGAAAATAAAAATACACAAATAAGGAAGAAAATAAAAATCAATCATAGTTTGGTCAGCTACTGTTAGCCATTGTTAAAAATGTAGGGTTTTTTTTCCAATCTTTTAAAAAATGGCTTTAATTATTTTCTGAATATAGAAATGTGTATACTTACAAGCCTTGGAAAAAGAGAGAAAAGGGAGGAACAAAAACTCATAGTCCTAGAAGCCATTGATAAACACTGCAGTGTTGTTGTTTTTTAGCACTTTAGTATTTTGATATATTTCTTAATAGGATTTTGTTTATGCTTTTCTATTTACATATATATATATTCATGACAATAATGAAACCTTATGTGCATAAAGTTTTAATCTTCATTGTATTGGTGAACTTTTTCCTATCTTATTAACATTCTTCAAAAGTATAATTTTGCCATCTCATAGCTTTATTATAATTTAATCATTTCGCTGCTGCTGGATATTTAGGTTTTCCTTATTTACTTATTGCTCTACAGCCCTGATGAGCATACATCTCTGTTGGCAAGACTTCAGGTAAACAGACACTCTCCACTGCTGGTGGTGATTTATGTTGATACAGTTTGTTCAGGTATTAAACAATTTGCAAATGTTAATGTCCTTTCCAGTAATTCAATTTCTAGGAGTCTCTCCAGAGGACCCCAGACTTTTTAATTACTTTCCGTGCTTTGAACTGTCTTTTCCTTAGGATCTAAACGCTCTTCCCACAGCAATGCTTATTTTTATGGCTTCTTCAAGAACAAGCGAATAGTTTTGTTTGACACTCTACTAGAAGAGTATTCCGTACTAAACAAAGACATCCGGGAGGAGTCTGACATGGAACCCCGCAATGATGGCGAAGGGGACAGTGAAGAAGTAAAAGCTAAAGTTAAAGTGAGTTCTGGTTTAGTTTTTATAAACGGTTTCTGTGACAACTCTAGGTAACATCCACTTCTATGTAACATTCTCTTCTATTCAGAGAGACCATCAAATTCAAACACCGCGGCTCCTTTGTAACTCTGGTGTTTGGGAAAGATTCTCACTATTATACAGCCTAACTATCTAGCAAGCCTTTGCAGAATGTACACATTAAAATTAAAAGCATAAGATAGTAAAATTCTTATGATTATAAGCTATCTTTAAAACAGGGGCTTTATCCTTATTCCTGATATGTTTATGACCAAAGAAATCCCACAGGCAGGATAAAGAAGAGATAAACATCTCATTTTTAGTTTCATTGAGACAATAATTATAGGTCCTGGCAAGGGAGAGACTTGAATTTGAATCTTGGTTCTGTCATTTAGTAGCTGTGTGTCCTTGGGTACATTATGTAATTTGGTCTGTTTTGTTTATTTTAACAAATATTTATGAAATGTATACGCTGTGCTGAGATACTTTGCTTTGCATTTGGAATACAAACTTAGAGGCAAACCCTTGCTCTCAAGGAACTTACACAATCACAGTGCAACATATCAGTTGCCACAGTGAAGCTATGTATACTGGATGCATTGAGAACACAAGAAAAGGCATTTCTTAAATCTGACCTGAGAGTCTAAGAAAGCTTTTTCTGAGTCCTTTCCTGGATGAGGTCAGCTGATGCTGACTAACAAAATCTAAAGTTCTAAGACTGGTGGGGAAGGGGGGAGACAATGATAAGAAATGACTCAAATGTAATCAGAAGTAGTCACCAGTATTTGTAGGTGTGATGTTCTGTTGGCTTTGATATCATTTAGAGATGGTTTTGAACCTGTGAAATGCTGGACAAGTATGTTAAGCTTTCTAAATTGCTTGTTTTGTGTGTTTTTTGTTTAATATATATGTTTTTATTTCAGAGAGGAAGGGAAAGGGAGAGAGAGAGAGAGAGAGAGAGAGAGAGAAAAAACATCAATGATGAGAGAGAACACTGATCAGCTGCGTCCTGCCCGCCCCACACTGGGGATCAAACTCGCAACCCAGGCACGTGCCCTGACTGGGAATTGAACCTTGACCTCCTGGTTCATAGGTCGACACTCAACTGCTGAGCCATGCCGGCCAGGCAAATCGTTGGTTTCTTAACTAAAAGATGATGCTACTGGGGTTTCTCACTTCAGCACTGTTGACATTTGGGCCAGATAATTTTTTGTTGTGGGAGGATGTCTTATGCATTGTAGGATGTTTAGCAGAATCCTTGGCCTCTCCCCACTAGATGCCAGCATCAGCACCATTACCACCGCCTTGCCACCCCAACAGGTGTGACTGCCAAAAATGTCTCTGGACATTGCCTGATATTCATGGGGGTGGGGGCTTGCAGGGCAAGATCACTCTGAGTTGCGAGATACTGGGCTAACGATGCCTACCTTTTAGGGTCATGAATATTAAAGGGTGGGTCAAAGGTAGGTTTACAGTTGTGAGTATGCAAAACACAGAATTTATTCTTGTATTGTTTATTAATTATTGTATTCCTTTCTGTACAAACAACTATAAATCTACTTTTGTCCCACCCTATATTTGAAATAAGCTATAGTTTATTTTATATCCTCTACATACCAAAAAATAATTACTATCATTCAAGCATCTGCTTTGACCTAAACAGTTGTTTTAGTAAAATGTCTGGCCTGTTAAAAATTCTATGAAGGGATTAAATAGCATTGGGAGAAGCTTAACTCATTTGTTTGGGTTTGTTTTTTTTTAAGTGTGGTTATCCCACTTGTTAGGATTTTGGAATAAGGACCACTTTGGTCTGACCAAGGGTCATAGGATTTTAAGCCAGGGAGAGATCTTAAGGTCATCTTTTTTTTTCTTTTTTTCTTTTTTTAATATATTTTATTGATTTTTTACAGAGAGGAAGAAGGAGGGATAGAGAGTCAGAAACATCGATGAAAGTCATTAATCAGCTGCCTCTTACACACCCCCTACTGGGGATGTGCCTGCAACCAAGGCACGTGCCCTTGACCAGAATCAAACCTGGGACCCTTCAGCCCACAGGCCAATGCTCTGTCCACTGAGCCAAACCGGTTTCGGCAAGGTCATCCTGTAGATAGGAAAACTGGAGTCCAGAAAGGGTAACCCAGTGATAACACTGAGGAGTCATACAAATTCAGCAAAGCAACCTACTAAGAGGTAACCACATACAGGGTGGATTACGTTATAGCCAAACCGAGACATACTAGTTAGTGATTCACTAACTTTAAGCAATGTAATGAAATTAGATCTTTAGTATCTATGAGAACAGTACTCTTTGGCTTAAAGTTTTAAAAAGATTGGTTAGTCCTTTGAAGCATGTTGAATGGAATTTGTATTATTTTTTGGTTTCTTGAAGAGCCTGCTTTATTTCATTGATAACTACAAATATTTTAGCATCTCTGTATAAGTTACGCGATGAAGATATATTAGACATAGCCCTACCCTAAAGAACCTATAGTGAAGAAGACTAGATATGTACACAGATAGCCCATACTTTAAGGCAAAATGTGGTAAATATCCTACGTAGCTGAAATAGTGCACCTTTTAGAAATTAAGAAGTTAACGCAGATTCTAATCATCAGACAGATTTCTTAAAAGAGGATATTAGAACTAGACAGAATTTGGCTTGAGGATGGGCCTTCTCACATTGAAAACATGGAATTAAGAAAGCTATAAAGCTGGGACCGGTTTGGCTCAGTGGATAGAGCGTTGGCCTGCAGACTGAAAGGTCCCAGGTTCGATTCCGGTCAAGGGCATGTACCTTGGTTGCGGGGTGTGCAAGAGGCAGCTGATTGATGATTCTCTCTCATCGATGTTTCTAACTCTCTATCCCTCTCTCTTCCTTTCTGAGAAAAATCAATAAAATATATATTTTTTTTAAAAAGAAAAGAAAACTAGAGACCAAAAAAACAACAACATTACACAGTGTTTATTCTGAGACTGATGATTGAATGGATTCTCATGGAATGAGATGAAAACGTAGGCCAGGAACAGTGTGAAAATACTCCTTCCTGAAGACATCAAGTGGTTATTTCCAGTGGCCTGAAAAGTTTAGATATACTCTGAAAAGTTTAGGGTATAGAGGCCAAAGCTTGTTTTTGGAAGATTAAAATTCGGTGGCAGCATATAGAAGAGAGCAAAGACTGGAGGTGGGCAGGCTCAAGATAAGCATGAGACAATGAGGGCCTGCACTAAAGTGAAAGGTCAGAATAAGAGAGAGAATAACAGTAAAAGATGAATTTAAAGTACTTGGTGATTGCTATTATGTGGAGTGAAGGAGAAGGCCAAAGATGAACTCAACATTCATTAACTGTTTTGTATGTCCCACTAGTGAGGTGATTTTAAGTAGTATATCAACATTGTGAGTTTGAATAACTATATTTATTACTATACTAAAGGCTCGATGCATGAAATTCAAGCAAAGGGCTTGGCCCTCACAGCCCTGGCTTCATCCGGATGGTTGTCCGGAAGGTTGTCCGAACAGTCATTCTTCTGTTCGGTCTAATTAGCATATTAGCTCTTTATTATCTTATATTTTTTTATGTATCTTATATATCGATAATATGCAAATTGACTGAACAGCAGATTGACTGATTGCTTTGATGCAAACTGACCACCAGGGGGCAGACGCTCAACACAGTTGCTCACAGAGAGAGCGCTGCTTAACCAGAAGCCCAGCTCTCTGCTGGCAAGCACAGCCATGGTGGCGGGAGTCTTTCCCACCTCTGTGGCAAGACTAAGAATGTTCAACTGCTGGCTTAGGCCCAATCCCCATGAAGCTGTCAGTCAAATGGCTCCTGGGCTGCAAGAGGGGGCAGGCTGCACTGAGGGGGAACCCCCCCCCCCCAGTGCACGAATTTTTTGCACTGAGCCTCTAGTATAGGATATTAGGAAAAGGAAAACTAGCATATTGTGATTTAATGAATGTTGTAATTTAGGATAAGGTTCCATTTTAAAAAGTGAGTTGGGTTAGCCCAGCCAGTGTGGCTCAGTGTTGGGCATCAACCTATGAACCAGGAGATAACAGTTCAATATCCAGCCAAGGGCACATGCCTAGGTTGCAGGATCCCTAGTGTGGGGCATGCAGGAGGCAGCTGATCAGTGATTCTCTCTCATCGTTGATGTTTCTCTCTCCCCCTCTATAAAAATCAATAAAAAGAATATTTTTTTTTAAAGTGAATTGGTTTAAAGAAATACATTAAGTAATACATAGAGAGTATACAGACGTGGCCAAAGTTTAGAAAACAGTGCTGTACTCAGCACCTAGTATGTACAGTACAGTGGGGCATTCAAAGGTGGTTTTAAGTCTGGATGATGTAGAGAAGATGAATCATTTCATTGTTAACAAGTTTAAGGAAAAACACTCAAGTTACCTAAAATCCCTCCTCTTAGAGATAGCTGCTATGGACATTTTGAATGTCTATATTGGCTATTAACCTTTTAAAAGCTGCCTAGGAAACTTACTTTCTAGAATTTTACCCTTCAGGAGACAAATAAATAGAACATATAATTGGAATAGCCTGTGTCAAAAGTAGTTTAAATAAAAGGAAAATGAAAAACTACATAAAATTGTACAGAAAAGCTGCCCTTTTATAGAAGAAAACAAGTATTTCTCCTGTATATGGTAGGTTTAGGTGAAAGTCTTTCTAGCTGATAAGTATGATAGAACTGTTACAGGCTCCATAGATGTGGGTTTGGATTTTACCCACTGCTTATTAGCAAGATATCTTAAGCAAGACATTTTTAAAAATTTTATTTAAATATATGTTTATTGATTTTAGAAAGTAAGGAAGAGGGAGAAAAAAAGAGATAGAAATGTCAATGATGAGAGAATCATTGATCGGATGCTTCCTGCATGTCCCACATTGGGGATCAAGCCCACAAATTGGGTATATGCCCTGGAACCGAACCGTGACCTCCTGGTTCATAGGTTGGTGCTCAACCACTGAGCC